AATGGACGTTCTTGCCCACCAGACACACTGGCTCCTGCACCTATGCGTGGAGCTGAGTCTCTCCTGAGAATACGACAGTCGCGCAGCTGTTCAAGGAACACTCCGTCCGGATGTTCGTCACTTTTCCCTCGGCTATATCGTGACTCACTTTAATAAGCCCACACCGTCACATCATTTTATTTTGAGGACCATTTTAATATTATCCCCCATCATATATCACGCTTGTTACATGAAATCGTCTTTAACCGTTTGGTCGCAGTAGTGTCTGAAAAAGAACAAACTACAAATGTCGAAGCTCTTGGGTAATTTCACAGTATTTCTGTTCCTCAACTTCTCTTAGGTCAAAATATACGCGGGGAAAATCATTATTAAAACAGAGCCGGGTTGAACTAGAGGGAGTTTCGAATGTGCTTAATTCTTTTAACAGCGTTCACTGTGTGTACAACATATACTTTAACGATGAACAGCTTTGCATTTTTTCAACAGATTATTTTAGGGTTTCGTATGTTTCTCGGAATAAACAGCGATTATTTCCCTAAACATCATTAATCAACTGTTAATTGTAATGGAGATGTATTGAGTTTTCTTTGGGGTAGGAAGTGAATTTTTAAATATTTAAATGACGTCCTTACTTCAAACGGTTAAACCACTCTTAAGTATCTTAGAATGTAACCATAGCACTGGCTGAACAGTGTTCTGAAAATCTTAACGTGTTTTGGATAACGTAGTGTTTTATTTCTTACTTAACCAGTGGTTCCTAACCCGCTCGTCTTCTGAACTATAATTCCAACACCACCTTCTTTCTGTCTAAATATTTACTTTATCTTAGGATTTTACCAGTAGGTAAATTAAACCTGACTTGTACCAGGAAGGTGTCGTCACAGTAGGCCTAAAATTTCAACCCACATCCCTGCATATTTAACCAGTCGAGGCGACAAAATCTTTGTAATGAAGACCACGCGATAATATTAAAAAGTGCAATGAAATATAGCAAGAAGTTATAGGAATAACCTGACACAGACTTTTCTTAAAATGCTTCAATATAGATATTGAAGATTAATAATAAGCTACAGCCTACAATTTAATGACACACCTCCTTTTCCCGAATACATTTGATTTGACCGACATAACCTCATAATTTCACATCGTTAACATGTTTATATCTATTGGTAAAAAGAAAAAGGCTTCGTGCAGATTATATTGAATATTTTTGTATAATTTTGCACAAAATTTCATATGCGTAACTCCAATAGCTCATTAAGTTACAGCCATAAAACCAAATGTTAACTGAAGATATTTCGCGATATTGCTATTTTACAATCAGCATAAAACACAAAATGTCAGGGTCACTCCCACTTGCACAAATTTCGCAATGTCGTCGTGTTGGCATTACTACGAGTAGTATTGGGAAATCGACAAATGCGAAGATGCCTCTAGTGATACGAAGTTCGTACCAAGTTTTATAAATTTACGTCATCGGCTCGAAATTTTTATTATGGACAAACAAATATTATGCTATCATAAATCTGTTTTTTCTCAAATACAATTTTTTTTAAAAAAAAACTGACAAACATCACAAAGTTTTATTTCAATTTCTCAACGGCTAATACGAGCTACCTCATTCCATTCTTCTACACTAATTCCTAAGCTATTATAAACGCCTTCTCAAAACGAGCCACTGCATGATGAACTCTGTTTTAGTCGATTAATACGTCAATGAAAAAATTTTGGAAATTCAATAACAATCATCACGGTGATGAGACAGGCTCAATGTTCCTCCAAATGACCAGATATAACAAAAAAAAAAAAAATGACTCTGTGACTGCGTTCAACAAATTGAAAGTAATTATCTTCAACAGTGACAGATGACTACATTTATGTGAACTTTTGTTTCTGATGTTCGACTGTTTTCTTGTCTTCTCCCCCCTACGTCATAGTTGTCCGACGTAAATCTTATTCTTTAATGACGCAATAAATATAAGCATATTAACGAATTATGTTAAATACGGGAAGGAAAAATAATTTCGAAGGAACGACCAAAAAAACATAAGCAGACGAATGATAAATTGTTATTAATAATAAAAAGTAACATCAAAGTGGGAAGGATGTTATTAAATTACTATAAATTTTAAATGTAATTTGTAAAAAAACAAAGAATATTTACTGATCTGTTATTAAAGTTTTTTGCTTTGATTTTGCGAATTATTTGGCGGGTGTTACGTTCTTCTGCACTGTGTTTATAACCCAGTGGTCCGCAGGGCGTTGCCGGTCCGAACACTATAACAGCGTATTGCAGTGTACATTTAATTACAACCCCACGTAGAGGACATATGCATAGGATAAATGTCTCCACCAGCAGATAGAGCGATGTGACACACCCTGTATCATTGGGAAATAAATCTTACATCTGTCAACTTATATTATTACTTCTTACGCTCTCATGTTAAAACTTTAATTTGAATTATCAGCATCGATGATTGTGGCGTATTTTCGAATTTGCCACAATGTAAGGAATTTAATTTCAATATCGTATATAAATATGTGTATGATTGTCGGTATTAATTATATTTGTAGCCCTTTGTTTGTGATGTCCAGTTGCAAACAGACGGTAAACCGGTCCGTGGCATCTGACTGCTGATTTGTTGATCAGTGAATCAGAAAATGTTTAGAACCGCTGTCCGAGAGTCCTCTTGTCACGTCCCACACATGATAATTCCTGCGTCCTTAATTCATTTGAACACTCTAACCGAATGACTGGTGCATGGACCTTGTATATAGGCTATTAAAATAATGACGTCATATGCTACGGGTTTTTTTCTCCCTAAAACAATAATTTATTTAATGAAATGACTGACTTGCTAAAGGCGAACCATATCCCAACAGAGAACACACAAATTGACAGAGTGGCTAAATTATAGCTCGTTAAATGTTTGAGCACTGTATAATAACGTATCTTATTTCATTACCGGAACTTTAATGTATATTTCTGGGCATGATGTCACCGACCGGTGTGTGAGAAAGTTCTCTGGGATTAACATCTGTCTCTGTACTTACAGTGTATAGAAAGAACGAACTTGTAAAGAAATCGATTATTGACACGCGACTAAAAACGAATTTTAAAACACATTCGATTATTGATAGACGACAATATAATAAAATCGATTCACTCTTTTCTAGAAACAAAGGTCTATTAAATTCTGTTCTTCGAGGACGGTAAGCAACAAAATTTTGTGATTGTTTATGTGTTGTTATTAGGTTAGTAGTCGAAAAATAAGTTTACAGCTCTTTCAACAGTAAAATACACTAAAAGACTGGTTTGTAGTAAACGTTTCTGGGCCGTACTTAGAGGGATAGTTGTGGGCTTCACCAACGTACCCTGAAATTACGATATCCACTTATTTTGACGACTTACATAGAAATAATTTTCAACCGTGAAACTCCTCTGAACTGTACATTAGTTACTACGTAAACACAAAATACGATAATTCTGCTAAACTAAACATAGGAACATTTGTTGATAAAGTGGCCACAATTCATGATAATTTGTACGTAAAATATATCGCAGTCTAACTTAATTTATTTTCAAACCGTGCCTAAAAATTTAAAACTGATACACTATTCGTAGGATATCTGACCACAAAAGTATAATAAATGTTAAGAATACTGAGTTTTCGTGAAGACATCGTGCATATTTGGACTACTTCACAAATCATTCTCCCTCCATAAAAATTCCTAAACCTCTGTAGCCAATCTGATAGGTTACATACAGGCCTACTAAATCCATAAAACTCTGAAAGCAGATATACAACAGCACAGAAGAACGTGTGTCAATAATAACACACATTAACTTCTGTTCCCATTTCAACCATCACCATGATACAAAATAGTCTCACAAGAGTGCAGCACAAGAGAAAAGGTGACAACCCTCCGCCATATTGAAAATGCAATAACCATCTAAACAGTATATTCGCTGACGACAATGGTAAACACATACTCTGAACAAAGTAAAGTTAATATGAAGTTTTTTTCTACGCAACTTATTAGTGACATTTTAAAAATGTCATTCAGAATTAATGACTCACAATTCCAGGAGTAACAAATCCACTATACACAGTTTTGCCGTGTTTCACAGAATGACAGGTGGTTACAAAATTTCTTCTACTGTAGAAACCAAATGCTGACTACTTTAACCGTAAAACTTTGCCACTATCTTCAGTTACTTTGCAGTTGAATAAACTAATATATTTCCATTTACAGTAAGGTCTTCCAAGCGATATTTTACTACGAAACTTTTACAACAAAGACCTTGTTCCCCCCAGTGAGACGTTTACTCCAATTCGTCTGATTTAAACACTTCAACCGGTATTAGATTTTCTTCAGGCCCACTGCCACAAATATATTTCTTATACTAGCTCATTTTGACATGAATCAGTTCTCATGTAGTGGTTTGACAATTGTTACATTCTGTAACCTACGTATGTCTCTCAAAGTTTATAAAAGAACTGAAACTGTTTGATTTTATAAAATATGTTATGAGATGATAATGTTGCGTCATATTGTGATAAACATATATTTGTTTAAATCTTGTCAGTCTGATCACAATAAAATTCCCATTAAATATTAAAATATTACTATAATTAACATTTAAATATTTAAAATATATTAAAATGATGTTCTCTATCGAAATGTTCGATTTACATTAGAGTTATCTTAAAAATTGATCCGAAGGTTTAAAAAGACATAAATAAAGATAGAAATATCCTGTAGAGACAAAGAAACGTGAAATTTCTCTAATTTAATTTAAATGATAGAAACAAAAACATTTTATTCTCAGCAAACTCCCCGAATCTGCTAAATCCCGGGAATTAACCGAATGTACAGCAAGGAGGCCTAAACGTTTATATGTGGTGAAGTTATAAGATTTATAGTAAAAAAATTTGTCACATCCTGGAGTGTGTGAATAACGTCTGTAATTTTTTCTCTACAATAAAAATATCCCAAAAATCGAATAAAATTTTGCAAAATTTCCATAGATTTTTATGTTTAACATAGTCGCATTACAGAAGCCAAGTAGAGGATAGCTCTCACCGGAAGAGGTGCAGAAAACCTTTACCCTCTACGAAATATGTACATGATGAACTTGGTTTCTGCTGTGAAGGCAATACCTTCTGATAAACCTACGATATGTAACCGCTTTCCTTGTGCTGCACTGTACCGCTGTAATCGATGTGGAATCAATTGATATTTCTCGATCCTTCAATTCGTTCCAAGCGAAAACGAAAACTGAAAAGTAAAAAAGATAAATAATATTAAGTGTTTTTTTTTAAAAAAATACAACATATACGGTAAACATTGAAGATAGTTGCACCCTTAAATTTCCCCAGTTCGCTTGTCAATCAATGTACGAAACTGATTGATTGACTCTGTTATTATGTGATGAATGACTTTCAATACAACATGTTTTAAAACGAATTCCGTGTAGCTCATACCCTGAAAACACAACTTAAAAACATTCATAAGTGTACGTATAAATATGGCCGATTTATGTAGCACGTAGCCTAAAACGCGGGGTGGCAAAGAGCTGCTTCGACATCGCAGTTCCTTCTACCCCCTCCCCCCGCCAGGGAGGAAGCCCTGCTCAAAAAAGCTACTATACTAATTAGCTATCTCGAGTATGTTTGTATATTGATTAAACAAGCTTGACTCTGATTTTAAATAAGTTTTTTTTTTCGTGGGGCTTATAGATTGTGAATATGGTAGTAATTGCATCCTGAAAGACATCAAAATATCATTCAACCTTCTACTCAAGTTTGTTCCGTCCCTTCCTGTCACCATCCTTAACATCTTCCTCAAGTTCTCTTCATTTTTTTTATTTTATAAATTCCGGTGCTGAATTTAACCCAAGCAGTAATCAGTCTTATCACAGAATCGCTTGCTATCCAGTGGAATAAAATACAAGAACGATTCGTAGGCCTACGAGATTAATCTTAAGAAATATTTCGTCTTAAGATTATTTTAAGATCTGTGACTACAGTGACCGATTGAATGATAATATCGTGTCGGACATTCCACTGTGTGGTGAACAGGCGTATTTGATATAGACATAATCGACGTTTCGGAATACTCTCGATAATCCAGTCTGCAGATGAATAGTTGTCAGTACACAACGGATTTCTTGTTACAATTATTATTATTTTAAAACCAGGAGCTCTCCGTTAGTGTACTAGCCTAGTGTTGAAAAGAAGTCATATCCTGTCAGCTCTTCAAATAAAATATCTGTCAATACGACGACAACCAGTCTCCTGAAGTCGGAACCAAAGCCAAGTCAAGAAACTTCGTGTAATTTCTATAAAATGCAGTGTCCAGCGCATTACTAATATAATATCGTCTTTATTAAAGTTATTCAGTACGCTGACGTAGTGGTCTGAAGTTTTCACGGCGAATAAGTATAATTAATTCTTCTGGGACTCAACTACCTGACACAGCCGGTAGGCCGACAAGAATTCGTTACGGTCAACTGGTGTTTGGAAGTCATCCGATTCAAATTTACCGGCTATACCAAAGTGATTTCACCATTTCATTCAAAGACATAAAACTGAGAGCAGAACACACAAATCAATCGATCACAATATTAATATTAATTCATTAGCCTACTTTTTAAATTACGTCATTTTACGTCGCTGTTTTAAAACTAAATTAATAACAGTTATGTTATAGTTTGTACAAAACGTCACCAGAATATTACCAATGGCCCATTAATTATCGTATTCAAATATAAAATAAAATATAAACTTCTTGCGTTAAGCATGTCCTTTTTTTAATTTTCAAAATATTACCTCAACAAAAGCTGTATGTTTTTTTTTCCAAAGACGTATAAAGACGTATAAATATTGAGGGCCCTACATAAAATTTCATTATTGTCATTCCTACCTCAGAAGTTCGCAAGGTAGGCAAATTGATATCACTGACGATTGGAAATTAAGAAGTACAAAGCTGGAGTGGACTCTGGCGACATACAAAGGACCAACTTCACTCACATCTCAGTAGATGTTTCAGTGAGAGTCTGAAGCAGCCATTTCTCTTACAAACACGTCACAGTTTAACAGTGACTGAGGTTCGCTTCTCGTCTCGATGAACAATCCCTTATCAACACTGTACCAGCACGACGCGAATGAAGACTATTTTAAACCGGAATAATTCTGTCACGAATGGAAATCAGTGGGGTAAAATATTTATGCAACACGCAGTACATGCTCAGGACATGATTGAATGGCAGAGTCTCCTTGCAAAACCCCGTCATACGTAATTGAACCTTAACAACACTGTGATTATCCATAACAACCACATGTCATTCTGCTTCTCTGTAAGATGATTTTAGAATGATGTATCGAGTACTGAGGTTAAGATGAACAAATGAACCTGTCACTACAAGGAGCGGCTTCAAGCTTCAGCGTAACGAAGAATATCCACGAATGAGCTAATCCAGCATCCAGGGCAGCAGATAAGGGGAGGAATGGCGATCCTTATCTTAAAAAGATGAAACGTTACGAGATGTTACATGTGACCTTGGGCTCTGATGGATTCGTTGGCGTCACGTAAATAAAGAGAAATTGACATACGTCCTGGAATGTCAGAAGTCTCTGTAGAAACATATGGTGGACCTTAGAAATGCTGGTACGAGATTTTTAGATGGAAATCATCAAGGCATTAGACCACTTAACAAAACGGGAACATGAAAATATGCGACTGAAAATATTTGTAACGGTGTTAAAAACAGGTTTCTCTGAATTTTAAAATACTTCTTGGGATAAACAATGTTGGAGTGTCTGCTACACGGATCACTTGAACTTTGTGTTAGATCTCCGATTTTGTGCATTACTTTAATTCAATACCTTTGCGTTTCGTAATGCTGTCTGTCAGCGGCTTCGTGTTCCGTCTGTTAATTTCATTAATACAAAAAGTGACTCATTCAGGCAAGGGAGAAAGGAGCGTCAAACATGAAAGAGATTAAGAGGAACCCTCGATCTGTCCTGGATAAGAACTGAAACGTGGGTTTCACGATTCGGAGTCTGTAATCACAAAACACAAGTGAGAATTTCCAAGGGCACGCAGACACGGGAAAGGGTAACAAGACAGTGGAAAAGAGAAGACGACGTTGCTGGTGGTACGCAATGAAACAATAGTCAGGCGAATTGCAAACAGAAACAGAAGATAAAAGATCTCAGATTCAAAGACATTGTTCCCCTTTGTTGTTAAATAAGAGGGTTTATAGTCAAGAGATAAAAAAAATTTCAATATCGACATGTCAGAGTTCGATTAACGTTACCGAAGTTCGTATTCCGAGTTGTAAAGTAATTTGGACTTGTAAATACATCTCACTCCAGCCCCGAAGATGTAGACAGTATTTTTCTCCGAAACACTGGTGTTTTCCTGGAAGTCCATACCGGAAGACCAACATCGACATCTTCAACGACGTGAGGACCTCAGATATTTAATAAATTTTGTCTCAAATACGAGACAGTGGTGAAATTCCACACCGTTTTATAATGTGTGAGAGTAAAATTAGGCGTGAGACGCAAAAACATTTGATTCGGAAAACATAAAGCAAGAGACCACCTGGGGTACACAGGATAATATTAAAATGGATGTTAAAGAAACAAGGTACGATAATATGCATTAGAATGAATTGGTTAAAGGTCCAATGGCGGGGTCTTGTAGACAGGGTAACTAATATCCTTATTGAAATATCTTTGACTAAGCAACTATGAGGTCACAGGCAACTTTAAGGGACTCCGAGTCACTATGGGAGTAAGAGAGTGCCGGGAGCAAGGAAATGCGACTAATTCAGACGTAAACTTTTGATTTCAATAAATAAATATCGATTGAATGTGAGAGAAGCCGAGTTGAACATAAAATAGGTGTAACGCCAATTAACCCTCTGACCACGGGCAGGTTTCTCGTAACTTCAGCAACTCTGACACGCCAGTAACTGACTATTATAAAGAGTAAGGGACTTCAGAACTTATGGAAGAATAGAATTGTAATTTGCAACTGACATTAATAATTCCCAGCAATCTATTGTGAGAAGTCTCTTTCATGTCTGAAATAATCGCAGTCTGGTACGTTACTCAGACTTAATTTCCGATTACATAAGCGTCTACTCTACCTGTTTAATCCGGTCTACCCCAGGCACAAGATAATTATTCACTTGGTCAAGGAATTCCAACCCTTTACGGATCCCGACGACTCGTACAAAAGCCCTTAGCAGTTCAGCCCCGTCGACATCTTAATTTCAGTATTACCTTTCCTAGATACTTTCTTCGTCGTCATTAATAGAACGAATTAAATGATTACCGGGGATTCTTCCTGTGGGTTTAGCGTAATGCTGACGTCCACCTAGTGTCGAGGTTAACAACGCGTGGAGCTATCCTCAAATCCCCTCCACACGTCTTCATATCCCTGTGATTAATTAAGCAAATTATCAACTTCGATTCCCACCTACTGTTAGGTTTTATAAATAAGATGTTAACTTGAGTTTTAAAACGAAATTTTTTATGTGTATTTCTTGTGTCCTACCGCTATTTCCGGATACTCAGAACGCTGATTTGTCACGTTCTTCAACTTTCTCTGGACGTATTGAGAAGATCCAATTGCAGACTTACGTCCTCTGCCTCTCCAGCTGCCAGATCAATTTTCTCAAAACAAGTCGCATGATCTCTGTTAAGCAGTGCCATTAATAATCTATTTCCTCTTCTCTTTGACTGTACTAATAATAATTACGATGACAAAGGCTTTATGGTTGACAGTGGCGCAGTGTTGCGGAGAAAAGGAGAATAAAGCGAAGGATGATGGTCGGATGGGCGAAGGTGGTGTGTGGAAAAGGAGAAGAGATGAAGCATTGGTTTTGCTGCTCTCTGTTGATAATCAGTAGAACTAGAGACATAGGAAGGAAGAGGATGTTAATTTGAACTTCGTTTTCGATATCGAAAGGATTCGTTCGTTTGGAACTAGAATTGGATGGTATGAGGTTTGAAACTAGAAGAGAAAGGCGGGGGGTGGGGGGTAAAAGTGGTTTACAGATCGAAAGGGAATAGCTAGGCTATCTGAAAAGCACGAGGGGTGGAGACGTTGAGCAAAGCATCACGATGGGTGAGGGGAGTACTAATTAGTTATCAAAGGGGTTTTCCTGGTTGGTGGCGCTGTCGTCAGAGGCTTCAGGGAATCTGAGGTCCTAGTTAACGTACAGTCAGGCCCAAAACGGAATAAACACCTTGTAACGAGAA